CATTTCAATACCATCACCTTTGTGGAGAAGCTTTGACCTTGCTATAAGTTTATGACTAATCTTAAAAAAAGCAAGGGTCACATTATCAACAAGCCGACTATCAAATCAACAAACAACATATATATTGACTCAGATAACGATTCTCACATTATCGTGTATTTTTGCTGCAAGGAAAAGTAGGTAAAGGTCAATGTGCTATATGAAAATGATTTGATCACAGGTCAAATCTTAGCCCGTACTTCGTGTAACAACTCATGTCTATGTAATTATTTATGCATGGTATAAAACAAACAAGAATGTTATTTATTCTTGACTCATTAAATACAATGTTTAGGTAAAAAGCAAGCTGTGGTTGTGATTTATTTGTTTTATGTGTTTTTTTAAATGGCACCAAATGTTAATTTGAATCTATGCTTAAACCATACATGAGGCAAAATGTACAGCATCTATGTATTTACATTACTGCCCATGCGTATTCATAATAAAAACAGATTCGTATATCAAATCTGCACTACCCATCGCACATCCCTATAGAGAAACTTAGATCTAACCACAACAAAAAACCTAGTTAAGACAGGTCTTGCATAGTACCAACTTGTTCCACATTCATGAATCACACATCGCATTTCAGTTTGAATTGTAGCATACAATGTGATGGAGTCGAATGGAGAGTATTATTAAAAGTGTCTCAGCTGATGTCCAAAAAGTTTCTCCCCAACAAAAGGTACATAGCAGTCATTACTAGAACCAGAAAAAAACCTGCATGTTCCTATTTTACCATATACATGTACTGCTTTTGTAAAAAAAGAGAAGGAATGTAATGAAATGCTACCTATTGGGTATTTGTAGATATTGGTTTTCTTGATCGATCTACCAGATGCGAATATGATGACGCCAGACACCAGATCAATGGCACTGTCAACCAAGCTGGAAATGATTGATATTGACCCAGAGAGATAAGCAGCGATCACCTTAGCAACCAATAGTAACTGCAATACAATATTAAATATGTAATAAAGTGTAATAAAGTTATTATTAATTAAATATCAGGGCAACTGAATAAACTTAAAGCGAGGGAGTCGTCACCTGCACATGCGTCAGATGGCCATAGTGTGTCATAGTTTACAAGCAAGCGTCTATCCATGAGCCTTTGCGTTTTTGACATGTGTTGTTATCGTTGCTTGGAACTCAATTCTCATGTGTGCACAGGTGAAGACCCTCCCACTTTAAATTAAAATTAAATCAATAATGAACTTACATAATGCAACTCTCAAGCAACTCTCAAAACAACAACTTACAACATAATGAACTTGTAACATACAAATTGTTGCAAATTACAACATAGAGCAACTTATAATACCGGTAAAGCGAAACTTAGTAATGCAACTTACAACATAATGCAAATTACAACATAGAGCAACTTATAATAAAGCGAAACTTACAACATAATGCAAATTACAACATAGAGCAACTTATAATAAAGCGAAACTTACATAATGCAACTTACAACATAATTTAACTTACAAGATTCATAAAGAAACTCAAAGCAGCAGCTCTAGCAATCCATTTATTGCTGGTATCAGCATCAAGACCACTCTCAATCTGATCTATCGCATCTGATAACATCTTAATCAGGGCATCTTGCTTCTTGTAGAAAGATCTAAGGAATAAAAAAGATGAGTTGGGAAAATAACTAATATTTATTTAACTGGAAAGATGAAAGTAAAATAAACCAGTGATGCCTCACCACATTCCAAAGGGAAGTTAAATTGAATTGCTTACGATACGTGATACAAGATCTAAATCAGACACAATTTTGAATGAAAAGTGAGCATGCTGGGGATAGAAAAAAAATTGCCATGAAAACACCTTGGGAACATTATTGTCCCAAGGAATGGCTGGGAAAACAATTGTCCCAGATACTGGATAGGAAGACCATTGTCCAAGGAAATATCTTGGGAGACCATTGTTCTAGGGAATGGCTGGCGAGACCCTTCTCCCACGGATTGGCTGGCAAAATCATCATCTCAGGGATTGGCTGGAAGGATTATATCCCAGAGTTTGGCTGAGTAGAGCACTGTCCTGATGTGGGAGGCCATTCTTCCAGGGAGTGGCTGGAAAAACCATTGTTCAAAAGATTACATGAGGATATCAATGTACAGGGTGTGGCTTGGAAGATCATTCTCTCAGTGATTGGCTGGGGAGTTCACTGTCCCAGAGATATAATGATTAGACCATGTCTTTGGGGTCGACTAGAAGGAACTTGTTCCAGACAATGACTGGAAAGTCCATGTCTCAGCAATCAGCTGGGTAGACCATAACCAGTCAGTAGCAAAATCAAAATTTGTTACACTTTAATAAAGCAACCTTATATATCTATACAGTATATCTCATGAAAAAGCAATAATCCAAGAAATCATAGACGTCCTTACTTAACATTTTTCTTTATAACAATCTTTTCATCTGTGATGGAATCTTGTCGTCTTTTCTGATTATCTTTAAGTTTGGCCAAGGATGTGTATGTTGTTGTTTTGACAAGCGGTCTCCTTTCTGAGATGTCATGATTACCTGTAATGTGGAAGCCATCTTGAATTCAATACACAAATCATAAAAAATACATAAATCAATCAATCAATCAATGACAATGCATCAGTGGATCAATACTACTCTTATAGAATTCTACAATAATCAGTATGACCTTTGACCATCACAATTTCCCTAATGTCCAAGAATGAGAATGTTTTACAAATTATATATTGTGAGTCAAACTGTAGCGATCCTTATAATATTCAAAATATATACAAAATTTGATGGAATCTATGTTTTATATATATTAGATACATGTATGATTCAGGGAAAGACTCATGGGTAATTTAGATACATGTATGATTCAGGGAAAGACTCATGGGTAATTTAGATACATGTATGATTCAGGGAAAGACTCATGGGTAATTTAGATACATGTATGATTCAGGGAAAGACTCATGGGTAATTTAGATACATGTATGATTCAGGGAAAGACTCATGGGTAATTTAGATACATGTATGATTCAGGGAAAGACTCATGGGTAATTTAGATACATGTATGATTCAGGGAAAGACTCATGGGTAATTTAGATACATGTATGATTCAGGGAAAGACTCATGGGTAATTTAGATACATGTATGATTCAGGGAAAGACTCATGGGTAATTTAGATACATGTATGATTCAGGGAAAGACTCATGGGTAATTTAGATACATGTATGATTCAGGGAAAGACTCATGGGTAATGGGTGTTCCCAAGGGCTTCTCTAGCCAGTGAAAAGATTTTCTGAATTTAATGTAATGAGAAAGTCTTCTGCAATAAATGTTGTAACAATTTTTCATAAGATTATTATCAATTCCAAATGCGAGTTATGAAGCTAGTCCTTTGACATCAGTCAGTGAGCAAGTCCATGTTTGGATCAGAATTTCAAACTAATGCATGTTAATTATTAATATGTGACACAATGTACCGGTACAATTTAGTCAGGGCATGTCCAGAATTAAAGGTATGAAACAGTATTCATAAATTATACAAAATGTCTGTCAGTCGGCCATCTTCAATCCGATCTAAAAAAAAATGACATCCATCAATATGGATTCCTTCAAAAATTTTATTTTTG